AATAAAGTTTTTAATAAAAAAATTTTATGTGTAATATTTCGACTTCCTACGTAAAAAAAATATAAAACATAAAATAATAGAGTATATTATATTAAGTTCTTTTACATTATTATATATATATTTAATATAGAAAAATAGTTTAAAAACATAATAATAATAATAAGATAAAAATAAAAAAATGTTACTGCATTCTTTTCAGCAATAATTTTGAATTAAATTAAATTGAGAAATTACTTAAATGATGGTAAAGACATTACTACAACCAGCTAGAATTATATTTATGTATGTACTCAGGATGTCGATGTATTATAAACTAGTTGGGAACATGGAGACTTGAACACATCATCTTTAACAGTATTTAGCTAATATAATGATTTAAAATTTATAACATATTTTGAAAATTTCACTAATGTTTTTTTTTGCACTTCCAATTTTTCTATCCCTTCTACATTAATTTTGAATCATGATTTGATTATATGCATAAATTATAGTAGAGCAGAAGAACTGTTTGATTAGTCGGTATTTGAATGTTCATATTATATATTTTGTAATTCTTGTTAAATTTATTTATTTATTAGGGAATGTAATTCAGATGTATGTTTAACAGTCAAAACAAACAATATATAATTTAATTGAATGTAAAAAATATTTATTTTTTTAAAAGAAAAAATCAACACAAATATTATAGTTTCAAACTTAAAACAATTCTTTTAACTAAAATCAAAATTTTAAATTATATAATAATGTAACTCAAATATTTTCCTAAATTTATATTATAAACAAATATACTATAAAACTTTATATATTATTTCTATTTATATTAATTTTTAAATAGTTTTAATTAGTTCAACTTTGTGGACAGAAAATACATTTTATAATTTGATAGAAAATTGTTAGACTGAAATGAAATTATTAAAACTAAATTATTATGAATTAAGATTAAATATTTTTTATACATTTTCATCTATTTGCCTTTTATATATTTCGGTCAGTAATAAGTGTTTAAAGAATTTTGTACGAAAAAAAATTAGCTAATATAGTTTATAAAATATTAATAATACAAAACTTAAAAGCTTTCTTAATTATTTCTGCATATCGTTAAGTAACATAGAGTAACTTACTTGATGATTTTAAAATCATGTAAATTGAGCTGATATTTGGCCCAAAGATACCGAAGTAAAATGTCATGGACTTCTTCAATTTTGTACATTTTTTCATCAGATGATCTGAGATAGTCAATAATTTGTTCTCATTTTATATATGTACATATATCTAAAAAAATATTTTTAAATTAACAATAAATGTTTTTTCATTTAAAAAAAAATATATAAATAAATAAATAATTTAGTTATTAAGTATATTTTAGGAATTTAGCTACATCTCATTTTGATACATGTTCGGTTTCCGAAGCGAGTTTGTAGCCGCTTATTAACTTGTTGGCACTCAGTTTGTTTTGTAAAAATATTGTTTACACAATCCAATAAAATTTATTTGCTTAAAAATGTACATTTTAAAGCAACTTGTTATTAAAATAATTATTTAGGTCTGTAAATCGTCTGATCGATTTTAAGAATTATTAGCCCTATTTTAAATTCTTAATTTTACTATTTATGCAGGATTTTCAAAGAAGTCCAATCGTTTACTTGATACTTCGCACTATGTTTTTCGTCCGTTAAGACTTTAATGCAAAATATATTACACATTAATACTAATAACAGTTTTAAGTTGCTAATTAGTTTTATATATGATTTCTTTAAAAATATTTTGTTTTTGTTATAATTTACTACAAAAATTTTAAAGTTTTTTATAACATATCTAAAATAATGTTAAGATCAATACAAAACCATGTAATCTTAAATAAATTCTCAAAAACTTAATATTATTTATTATAATATTTCGATATAGTTTATATCATTCTATTGAAATTTTAGCTAAGGAGGTAATAAATTTCGTTTTGTATTTTTGATACAACATTTATTGCATTTCAATTTAAAGAGAAAATTATACTCTTTATTGCTTTCATTTAAGATGATTTTATTAGGAAAAAATATATTACTTTGATTTATAACTTTTTTGGTTAAAATGGTGGGTAAGAACTTTAAAATACCTTCTTTTCTGGCATTATTTCATTCTTTATATAAATAAAAGAAGAGAACTTCAATTTTGATGGGCTGACTTTATCTTACAAGGTTCTACTAATACATAACTTTTTTATGTGCACTAACGCTACTAAACGTCTAAAGTTTAAGCTTAAACTAATTTACTTTGTCCTTATAAAATTTTAGTGCATATTGATATAAATTTTTATATGTATTTATATATATGTTATATATACCCATACTGTTATTTTGTGTCTATCCTCTATGTTAATTATGTTCAAAAAGTTTCTTAAAATTATATGAAAATTACTAATTTTGTAAGTTTCTCCATAAATGCTGAAATTTTTTGTATGTAATCAAAATTCTGTTATAAAAGTATGAATATGTGCAAGTACTTGTTTCATATTCATACCTAATATCACCCAATTTTATTGTTGTTAGTTAAATGACTTTATTTTTGGTATTAAAAATGGCAGCAATTTTATTGCCTGGAAGTTGATAAATTCAATATTTTTTTAAATAAAAATATCAGTTTCTACATATGTATTATTTGAAAAATGCATCATATATAAATAACTCTAAATAAATAAATAACTCACATTAATGTGATTTACAATAATTTTTTATATATTATTAATTTCATTCGAAAGTATTAGATATTAACTCATTTTTCTCCTCTCGCGCAGAGAATATAAAAAATGTAAAAAATGACAATGTTTAATATACATTATCAGATTATTCATATTTATAAATAATAGTAATTCAACTTTTAATCTATAGGCTTCTGCTAATATTTGACAGAATTAAATTAAATTTACTCATTTAGTTGCGCGTTTTAACATTCGTCTTTTAGGATAATTGAGTAAATATTGTTATATTGTTTTTGGCCTTATGTTTAACCAACTATCGTTACTTGCTACAAAGTACAGCACTGACTTTAATAAATTGGTAGCCAAAAAAAGATTAACACATTATAAAAAAATTTTATTTTGGCAGTAGTAAAATTATAGATTTGAATGAAATTATGAATGAAATATAGTTTCAATTAATAAAATATTCAATTACGAAATTCCTTTCTGAGTATACATAATACACCAATATATTATATATATGAAGAGTTCTTTATATCAACTGCTTAATATTTAAGCAATTAGCAAAGATTGCTGTTACTTTATTACTATATGAAAATGATTATTGAATATATTATTATTCAACTTTTAACTAATAAATTCACTAAAATTAAATAAATATCCATAGTGGAACTTGTAAAAATTATTTCTATAAAGTTAACGTAAATATAACTAAAAATTTTAATTTAACAATTGCCAATTCACTTATTGAGTATTTTTTGACATTAATATTAATTCAAAAAAAAAAAATTGTGAAAGGTTTGGAGTAAATTCTTCTCCTTTTTTTAAGTAATTTAATAATGTAATTATAGTATTTTAAACATTTAAGTAGCTCAAAAATTCATCAGAAAATAATTGCTTAGAATTGTCCGATGAAAATTTGCTATCGACGTCGGATTTCCTGATATCACAATGAGCGGGAACATCAGCATTGGGGAAAACACTATTTTGATGAGAAAATTGTTGCTTAGTGATGGCTCGTCTTATTCCACAGTTACTGTTAGTATTCCAAATATTTTTTGCATTAGGCAAATGGTTTACGTTGGAAGTTGAGTTGCACAAATCATTTGAATTGCGAATTGATTCTGTTGCATTCCAAATTTTGCTTATATTAGCGAATTGTGTAGGACCTTCAGTTAGTGACTTCAAATTACTAGTTGTATTTAGCGACTTAGCAGTATGATTTGTACAAGAACTACCATTATGCCACGTATCTATTTTTTCAAATTCAAATTGTGTTGAAGTTGAATTTGAATTTGATGAAAATGAGGTTGTTGATGAAAACGGTGAAGTTGGGTCCATGACATCAATATTGACTTTATTATTACAATTCTTGAGAATATTGCTAACTGGTGAGATTTGTGGTGACCATAAAGAGTCTTTACGGTTAATATGATTAATCTGTTTTGGTGAAGAGGTTGAAGCAGGACTTAGTGATGCTTGCGAGGTACCTCCAGTTGAGCAACCACTGGAAGTTGAGGAACTGTTCTCACAGCCCCACAATGCAGAAATAGCACCGTTTGTTTTATTTGCGTTTTGTGTAAGAATGTTAAAAGCTGATGGCGTCAACACGGGATTTTGACCCCAAAAACAATTTTTTACTTTCTTTTCATTCTCACTATCTGTTTTTAGTGATTCTCCTATTCCAGATGGTACATATGTAGTTATAGTTTTATTTTGCAATATATTATTTCCAATATTCTTTATACCACCAATTTCTGTCAAAATTCTGTCCCGTTTACTCTCTACTAACTCTATATTTTCGTGCATATAGTGTTGCCCTTGGTTGTGCAATTCCGCAATACAGAAATATTTTTTATTTATGTTTTCGTCACTTTTAGACGTATTCTCTAAACTATATTTTATAGGCAGATTTGTTGACATGTGTTGTGAAATGGCTGTATTTGCAACATGAGGAAATATTTGATTTATTGTGGAAAACTCAGATATCGAGATATTGGATAAAGCAGAATCTACATCACCAATTAATGATGTAAGTGCTGTCGAGCGATGATGTTGGTTTTGTTGTTGTTTTACCTGATTACAACTGTTATTCACGATTTTGGTAAAATATTGTTGATGAATTTGTGCATGGGGATGTGAACCAATCATATCTGGATTGACTTGTTGTTGAAAAGGGGCTGTATAATCAATATCAGGATTAAAAATTAGAAGTCTTTTAATTTCATCATTGTTTTCATTTTGCTTTCTAGTTGGAGTATTCATCCTGACGCCGTTTGGCATCATTGTTAACTTTGAAGACTCCAACGAATCCTCATGTTATGCGAGTTGTTGTTGTCGACCAATGTTATGCTTAGCAAAACAGAAACCTAAAGGTTTCACAAAGTGTGTATCCTGAGTAGTGCAATATGGACAAGTCACACTATGCGAGTAATCACTGTAAAAATTAAGTCGTTGTTGCGGATGCAGTAATAATTTGAAGCAATTATTGCACTATTGATAAAAATGGAAACAAGTGAGTTAAGGAATATGTTGTAATTAATATGTATTAGTGACGATTTATTAGTGACGAAATTCGAACACAAAAGCTAGTCGCGTTTTAAAGTAATCACATTTTTTTTTATTTAGTATTTATAACCATGTTAGCACAAAACAAAATAATTTACATTAAACCATAACTAGTTTCAACAAAATTTAATTTAAAAAAATACAAAGTCCTTCAAAATAGTATCTACAAATTTATTTTTACCTTAAGACGTTCAGCACAACACGGCATAGCAGCAAAAATATCATAAGCATACATGGTTCCTAATACTAAATTCGATCCATTCCAAATTTCGTTACAAAACCTAAAACAATCACAAGATACATACATATATTAGTACAGCATAATTTTGAAAAAATTAAAACAACAAAAAATACCTGCAAGTAATAACACGATTCATGGAAGTACCATCTAAACAAGTCATGCAAACACATGTCAAATAAAGTGAACGGCCTTCGTATTTAACCTATATAGAAAATAACAAAAAAAAAATTAATTATTGTTAATAATTTAATAGAATAAATCTAAATGTCAATTATTCTAATATTAATGTTTTAATATATACATATCAATAACACCTGTTTTAGATTCTTAACAAAAATATTTCGAACCTACGTCTATAAATTGTACAAACGATTTATATGCTTTGTAATTAGATTTAGATTTAATTATTTATAATAATATATTATTTATTACTATTATTATTATTATTATTATTATTATTATTTTATTATTTATTGATTCAAAAACTCATACAGCACTTACAAAAATTTTAGAATTTTACTTAAAATCTTATTTGACAATAGCATATTTGTTGTGTGTCATATTAGCATACAAAAAGTGGTGTTTTTTATTAACATTATAATTCATATAAATTCATCAATAATTAATCTTCTGTTAGAAATTTGCACAGGTTATAAATATTGTTACCGTTTAACAAGACTTTAGCTTCTTCGGACAGAAGTGCTTTACAAAAAAAAAATACGTCTATGTTCTCTGAAAATTGAACATACACCAATATCATGACATATATTTTCTATTTCATAACGATTACACAAAAATCAATCACGTTAAGAAATAATAAATAATATAATATAAGTTATATATTAATCGGTTTTACACTTACTTCAATACAGCTAGAGGAATGTTGCTTGGGACTCAAAAAAAAAGAACCATCGATTAATGGGTACCGATCGAAAACTAACATTGGTTCTTCACATAGTATACAGGAAACTCTACTCATTTGCGATTGAGCTAATGATGACAGTATAAAAAGACGGGTTTCATCATTTCCATGATTGCCTTCATCTTCAATCTGAAAAAAAAATATTTAAAAATTTCAATTTTTAATAAAAATTATTATAAAGTTATAAAAATATTTTTGTATACATTATTTTATTATATAAAGCATTTATTTTAAACAGAATAAAAAATTATATCTAATAAAACTACAAATGTTATAAATGCCATTTCTTTTCAACTTTTAATTGTAAAAAAGACAAATATTCTTTATTTGGGTTTCCGTTGAGTAAAGATTGTAGAATCTTCCCATTAACTTACATTTGGTGATAAAATGGGTTCAACTGCAAAAATAAAAACAATTTAACACGCTGCTAAATAAACAACAAAAAGCCAACATTAAGAAGCGATTGAATGACGCTGTATAAAGTAATCAGTATTTTCATAGATAGGAAAGGGTGTGCTTTATCACAAGTGAAAAACAAACAATCATTCTTGAAATGAAGTCACAAAATTAAATTCGCAGATTGTGGGTGGAAACGATGATGTTGTGTATGAAATGTGCTAATACTGCACACTTTCACTTATAGAATTGTGTGCTTTCTTTAACTGCACACTCAATTCGATTAATGAATGTTTGCACTAATTTGAAAGCTATGCGCTCAAACAAATAACAAGAATAACTCTTCATGCACAAGTATAAGGAAAGCAACCGGGATTAACTAAAGCAATGAGTTTTTATATAAGCTAAAAAGGCGTACAAGTAAATATTCAATTATTTAAGATCCTTATTGCGTGTTTAGTAAAGTTCTAAAACTGTGAAACAAATATGTCCGTATACTGTTTTCCAAATCGAACAATACCTCACAAAATCCACCTACGAGTCTGTAAATAAATGAACTGATTAATAAGAAACAATTGCCAGTAACTAAATAAAATTAATTATTTAAATAAATTAACTTATGAATATTGACACTAAAAAAAATAGTACATTTAAAAGTTTTTGAGGTAAAAAAAATTGTCAACGTATTTAATCAATAATTTTAACAACCATTTTTTACATTTGTAGTACTTAAAAGTGAAACATATTATAAACTAGTCTTAAAAGTAAAAATACGTGTATCTAAACTAGTTGGTATAAAATTGACTCAATGAGATAACGTATATTTAACAAATAGTAGTTATAATTAAAAACACAGTCTACTGATACTAAAAATATGAAAGTTGTAAGCTTCATGGCACTTTCTTGGACAGAAAATATTTTCATTACAAAATCAACTTACTTTTTAAACATTATCAAGTTTAAAAAGAAAAGAACAAATTTTGGAGAGCACCAGTTGATACCATCAGAAATATAGATAATCGCTTCAATTCACTTTGAAAATGACTATAAAAATTACATATTTTCAAAATGTTCGAAGATAACTATTATATTGCATAAATAACTGAAAATAGCCGCAAATATTTACATTAAGAATTGAAACAAAAATATTTAGCCAGGATGAAAACAATAGATACAACAACAATTCTCTTTAAATTCAGTTAGATTTCTTGTCTTTGTTACTATTCGAATAAGCAAGTTTAAGTAAAGCAATGTTTTTTAGGATAACAGTAAGTTTATTTTTTATTCTTTAATTTCACAATTCATGCAGTTTAGATATTCACATTAATTATACATCAGAACACACAAAAGTCAAAAATGTTACGTCAGTGTCGCCACTTTCATATATTTTTTTTGTATTTTGGTAAAATACTACAAAAACAGTATGCCTTAATACGATAATTTGGTAATAATCTTCACTTTTTAGTCTAAGAAAACTTCTCTCACAGTGCCCATTTTAATCAGTAAATTCAGGATATCAACGTTAAACAAGCCACAGCTCTTAGGTGTCATACTGGATAGTATGCTTGCGGTTGGTTGAAAAGTTCTAACGACGTGTTTCCAGGCTTGAACATAATAAGGCAACCTATTACGGTCTATGCTGCATCAGTGTGAACCGCAATTTTTCAAGACCCACTATAAGGTTTTCCAAAAAAATCAAAACACAGCGTTAGCACTTTAATCAACCACATGTGACAAGGTTTTCTTCAGATAATATATCATCACTTTTGAAGTTATATAACAAATAGATGGAAAAATGTATTTTGCGTTAATTTAGGTTGAGTTAGCATTTCATAAAATTTATTGTAATCAAATTTTAAAAATATACATAAATAAATTTTATTTATACAAGTATTTTGTCAAAAGATTTTAGTGACAATGTAAAATAGTTTAAAAATTTTTAATACACAACCTTCGTTTATAATATAATATGTAACACATCTCGAAATTTAACAAATCTCTTAGAGCTGTTGCCGAGTTTTACACAGAAGACAGTATTTTATTAATTTTTCGAACACGGCGTTGACTGCCTAGTGTAACCAACTAGCTATGCTCACATGTCTGTAATATGAAATAAATTTCAAAAAAGAAAATAATTTTCAGTTTCAAATTATTCTTACTTCCAATATTATCGAATTTTGAAACAGTAACGGAAATTCGGAAATTATCTGTATTCATATAGATAATGATTTATAATACAATTAATACCTACAATTTAAAAAATATTATCATAATTTCTAAAAAATAATTACAATACAAAAAAAACATATAAACAATAAATTATCCGCCATTTGCTCATTGGTAAGATGAGTTAACAATGTAAAAACTATGCGTAACTTTTTATTTCTCTTCACTGTACTGCACTGCTTGTGCTTAAGTACGTACTAATAGCCAACATTAATGGAACAAGTATAGGAGAAAAAATTTAAACGAAAGTTTAAACAGGAATAAGTAGCAGACACAACAACACAAAAGCAATAGACAGGTCAGATATAAAAGTTTGCGTTTTATGAATGAGTCAATGACATTTCCTGCAGTTCACTAGTAATGGATTAACGAAACGCCCTTATTTGAAATGAGAACACAAAAGTTAACGTTAACAAATATTTTGCATTTCTATTTTAAATCAATCATTGAATATTGTAAAAACAGCAATTTCGTATGGATTTTTATTTATAATGAAAGGAATGGAATAAAATTTTCGCTTAACTTTTTTATTTATATGTATATATATAAATAACTTATTATTTTGCAACATTTTTAACCAAAGTTTTTTATTCATTTAAGAGACTTTTTCTGTATACGTCATTCAAAGCTACGAACCTACTGCTTTTATCAACAAAAATTCAGAAATTTATATACAAAAAAAAAACCAGACTCGGTTCCTGAGTACTACGTTGTCATCGTCATCGTTGATACAATGTTCTTCGTTTAATATGGCAGACGACATATTTTAGACTATTTAGAATGAGATAAATCCGCTCAATACTATTCAATTTAACACCTTTCGTCAAAATGGACTACACTTTTCTGAACTTTTTTCAGTTTAAGAAATACTCAATACTCGAATCTTCACATATAAAACTTTATTCGTATGTCCCTACAAAACACACAATGTATATTAGCAAGCTCTTTGAACTTACTAAACAACTTATAGTTGTGGAACACACATAAATTTTATTCTTTAAAAGTAGATTCGAATTTAGGAATTTCCTATCATATTTTTCTGCAGTTTAGTGGACAAAGACTTCAATTTCGTTGATAACAGATATACGATCCTGAAAATTAAAAAAATGTTGCATCTAAAAAATAAAACTAATAAAACAAGCTTTCGCGTACCAATTATTGTATTTATGGCAAGTTTATTAAACCATACAAATATTGTAGTTGTTCCCCACTGCAAAAACGACAAGTAGAGCAATACGGAATACGGATAAAACTGAAAACGAAAACCATAGATAGCAATCGAAAGGGTACTGACATTTTACGCAAATGAAGTGAAGCAGCTGCCAACTATGCAAGCTGCTGAAATGTGTGAATTGACACGCTTTTAATGATTATATACGCAGTGGAAAATTTATCGACGTAGTTTAACACAAACGCGATTCGAAGGTAGGGAACGAACTGTTTATAATTACATTTTTAAGGCTTTGAATAAAGGTATTTAAAAAAATGCAAAACAAAGACGCCATTTGTTAAACAAAAAAAATATTTCTAATTTAATATTTAAAATTAATATGTACATACATATATCTTATTACAAAATTATGTCCATCTAAAATATTTCTGAAACAAACTATTTGCAGGTCGTATGTATTAATAACGAATCCAAGTCTGTGTGAATGCAGTAGGAGGCAAAGCAACTTTAAAAACTTGCATATTTATACCCCAAAGTAAGAAAATATATGAAAACGCATGTGTCACTGATGCCTTGGATGTGAAACATGTATAAAGTAAAAATGCAAGTTACACAAGGCAAATCTATTATAAAACCCATACATATATATAATGCGTTTGTGGATACACTTTATTTATTTGTAGGGTTAGCG